ACCTTAGCTCTGCTAATGACTTGAAGGTTAAAATATTAATTTAATACTTGAGCATTTAGATAGGTAAAATTTTATGTTAAACTCTTAAATTTATTTTAAATTTTCAATTAAACCTCTCAATTTTTATTGAGATAAAAAAATTCTTGAACTTGGTAATTGAGAAAATTTAACTTTTCTTTTCTTTTCTTTATAGTAGATTTAATACTCATTTATACCTTGTATAGATAAAATATTGATATGTGATTGCCTACATGGTAGGTCTCGACCTTGTCCACATAAGTAGGGTATAAATGAGCATTAAATTCATCATAAAAAAGGGTTAAATTACTTAAATCACCAAGTTCAAGGACTTTTATACTTCAATAAAAATTGAGAGGCTTAATTAAAAATATGAGATTAATTTGATGGCTTAACATGGGGTTTTGTCATCCAAAAATGCACCAAAAATGTCCTTGAACTTCAAAAGAACTTAGATTTTCGATACCAATAAGTATTTTAACCTAACTTGTACCATGTGTTGACGACCACTTAAGATTTTTTTTCAAAAAAACAATGAAAATCATTAAGTGTAAAAATATAAAAGAAAAGGGAGTCGCCACTCGTCAAAGCTTGATTCAATGGTCATGGTGCTTATCCTTTCCTGCAATGATTCGAGAATTTTCTCCAGTGAACTACAGATGCTCTCAAGTCATTGAACTTTATGCAAAGCATGTCATCAAGCCTATTGATAAATACACAACATGAAGGACAATTGACTCCTGCCAAGTATGGACATCCAATATGTTCAGGGAAGTTTCTTAACCTCTCTCACTTGGTTAAAAAACCATTTTCTCGCTCGGTTAAAAAACCTTTTCTTGCTTGGTTAAAAAACCATTTTCTCACTCGGTTTAAAAACCATTTCTTACTTGGTTAAAAAACCATTTTCTTACTCGGTTAAAAAACCATTTTTAACTTGGTTAAAAAACCATTTCTACTCGGTTAAAAAAACCGTTCCTTGCTTGGTTCAAAAACCATTTCTCTCTCGGTTAAAAAACCATTTCTTGTGTGGTTCAAAAATCATTTCTACTCGGTTAAAAAACTGTTTCTTACTTGGTTAAAAAACTGTTTCTTACTTGGTTAAAAAACCATTTCTTGCTCGGTTAAAAAACCGTTTCTACTCAACTTGCTCGGTCGTTTGACCGTAGCCTCTCAAAACTAGCTCGGTCGTTTGACCGTAGCAACTTGACTCACTCGGTTAAAAAACCGTTTCTACTAGGTTAAAAAACCATTTCTTGCTTGGTTCAAGAACCATTTCTACTCGGTTAAAAAACCATTTCTTATTTGGTTCAAAAACCATTTCTACTCGGTTAAAAAACCGTTTCTTACTTGGTTAAAAAACCATTTCTTGCTCGGTTAAAAAACCGTTTCTGCTCAACTTGCTCGGTCGTTTGACCATAGCCACTCAAAACTGGCTCGGTCATTTGACCTAGCAACTTGACTCACTCGGTTAAAAAACCGTTTCTACTAGGTTAAAAAACCGTTTCTTACTTGGTTCAAAAACCATGCAAGTGAGACAACTTTCACATAGAAGATAAGGTAGAGTGAAGAGAGGTTAAGAAACTTCCCTGAACATATTGGATGTCCATATTTGACAAGAGTCTTATGTCTTTCATGTTGCACATTCATCAATAAGCTCGATGACATGCTTTGCATAAAGTTCAGCAACTTGAGAGCATCTCACAATGCAAATGTCACATGGCAAGGGTTGAAATGGAAAGCTCCTAGACAAGGCATGTAACTTGGGGGGCATGTTGGGAAATTTTGAGCCTTTAATTCCCATTCTTTTCACAAAACCTTAACCAAACCCCATTACAACCCAAGGAAAAGTCACTGATTTGATTAAATTCAAAACATGAAGGATTGATTTGAAAAGAGTTGAGACTTTGGGACTAAATTGCTTAATCATAAAACTTGTGGGTGAAATTGAGATAAAATAAAAGATAACTTTGACTTTGACCAAGATTAAAGTTAATTGAAAATTAAAAATTAATTAATCAAAATAATTAATCTAATTAAATAATTAACGTCCTTGAAACAAAAATAAAATATAGATAGCTTAGTTAAATAAAAGGGAAAAATTCATATTTTTATATTTTTTATTTTTTATTTTTGGATAAAAATTTAAGTTATGACACCATGTATGGTTCTTATGTAGGCGGGTTAGTCAATCCTCATGTTTTTCTCCAAGAACGATTATTTGTATGCATAACAATTGATCACCTAGATCC